AAGGCCTACACGAGTGGGAAATACAGTAACACATTATTACGACATAATTCCTGAGCAATGATTTGTGAATTGTGTGTTTCGTATCATTAAATATAATGCGGTTATGAGTGTAATAAAGTGGAGAATCGTCGAAACAAATGGGATCATACCTTCTGGCTTTGGATGCGTTATATTTTTCAATCAAAACATCCATACAATTAGGAAACATCGGACAATGCTCTCGAATGGGGCCGTGAATAAAGCCCAAATGTCTCAGAAGCATAAGAGTTCTGTCCTGATCCAAACGCTCTAACCCTTTATATCTATAAATGTAAACCAATTAACACATGTCTTAAAAACTAATTTCTTGTTTGAGTCAAACCTCGGGTCCTCCTGAAGGGCTTCAGTTATCTTTTGAATGTCGTCTTGAGTGATGACACTTCCGGGTCCGAGACTTGCGAAGTGATAGAATAGACTCGAGTGCTCTAACAGTAATTCCTGAAAATTGCTTTTAGCGCAGTCAGTGATGTCCTTTTGGTGCTCTTCGTAGATCTCAATCACGTCGCGTTCGCCCAGAGATTCGTAACATTCGCGGCCCATAAACAGAACCCGAACTTCGGTTAACGACTTGCCGGGCGTCACATAATTGGTCTCTTGTAATAATTGTTTGAATTGATGTCTCAGCTCTTTCTGTCGTTCGCCACTTTCGAGACTCATTCTGTGCTCAACGAACACCTGTTCCGCTTCTGGAGTATCCAACAGATCAAAAGGGATTCGTGTTTCTGAGCCGTCCTCGAAGTCCACCTCTTGCCACGTGAAGTCTGGATTGTCGAGAAAGTATTGGTCAAAGTCTGAATGAGACCGAAGCCTATCCTTAATGGTAATCCAATCGTTCATTTCGCCGATGGTCTCGAGATCGGGCATCAATTCCGTCAGCACTTCCGGCAAAACCCTTAAATACATTTNCTTTAAGGGCATTATTTGAAACCAAATATGCCTTTCCTATTGATTGGACAAACAATTATAAATATTATACATTTTATATGAATTAAAAACAATCAGAAAACTGGCGAATAATTGCGACAACTCTTCAAACGAGTCATTTTGGACTTTAAAGATGGCGCGAAAGACTGACTCAAGCCATCAGAAGTGCTTCAATATAGCGGTTGTGGGACTTTCGGGCACTGAGAAAGAGAAGGGATGTCTCGGTGTCGGCAAGTCTTGTCTCTGCAATCGCTTTATAAGACCGCTGGCCGACGACTATAACGTGGACCACATCTCAGTGCTCAGTCAGACCGACTTCAGCGGTCGTATCATAAACAACGAGCACTGGCTTTATTGGGGAGAGACCTGCAAGACGTCCGAAGAAGGCTTCGAACTGGTGTTCAGTGTCATCGAACAGACAGAGTTCATAGACGACGCCTGTTTCCAGCCGTTCAAAAGTGGCAAAACTGAGCCCTACTATAAGCGATGCGCCGCCACTCGGCTCTCGTCGGCCGAGAAGATGATGTATATCTGCAAAAACCAATTGGGAATCGAAAAAGAATACGAACAAAGATATCTAAATGACGGCCGCTTTTGCATCGATGGTTTCGTTTGTACGTTTGACGTGAGCCAAGTCCAGGGCCGGTCTATCGAGCGTCAGGTAGAGCTCACGGCTCTTATACTGAACAACCTATTGAAGACAAAGAAGCCGATAGTGTTGGCCACCACTAAACACGACGAAGTGTACGACTACTACGTGAAAGAGGCCGAAAGGCTGGTCAACAGACGGGAATTCAAGGGCAACATAGCTTTGGTGGAGACGTCGGCGCACGAGAACGTGAACGTCGACTTAGCGTTCGTCACTTGCGCTCAACTCATCGACAGAACGAAAGGCAAATCAAAGAACGTGTCATTCTTGGAGTCCTCACGCAATCGGAGGGACGCGATGGACAACGCGAGCGACGCCTACCTATCGCTCATTCAGTCACAAATCACTGACTATAGGACTCTATGGAACAGCACTTATAAAAAGTTAGTCCAAAGTCAGGACTTTTTGAATTATTGCGAACTCTTCGGTCAGGATTCAGCGCATCTCACATTCAAACGACACATCAAAAAATTAAAAGACGACTACTTGTGCCGCAAAATGCAAATGTATTTAAGGGTTTTGCCGGAAGTGCTGACGGAATTGATGCCCGATCTCGAGACCATCGGCGAAATGAACGATTGGATTACCATTAAGGATAGGCTTCGGTCTCATTCAGACTTTGACCAATACTTTCTCGACAATCCAGACTTCACGTGGCAAGAGGTGGACTTCGAGGACGGCTCAGAAACACGAATCCCTTTTGATCTGTTGGATACTCCAGAAGCGGAACAGGTGTTCGTTGAGCACAGAATGAGTCTCGAAAGTGGCGAACGACAGAAAGAGCTGAGACATCAATTCAAACAACTATTACAAGAGACTAATTATGTGACGCCCGGCAAGTCGTTAACCGAAGTTCGGGTTCTGTTTATGGGCCGCGAATGTTACGAATCTCTGGGCGAACGCGACGTCATTGAGATCTACGAAGAGCACCAAAAGGACATCACTGACTGCGCCAAAAGCAATTTCCAGGAATTACTGTTAGAGCACTCGAGTCTATTCTATCACTTCGCAAGTCTCGGACCCGGAAGTGTCATCACTCAAGACGACATTCAAAAAATAACTGAAGCCCTTCAGGAGGACCCGAGGTTTGACTCAAACAAGACATTAGTTGTTAACACATGTGTTAATTGGTTTACATTTATAGATATAAAGGATTAGAGCGTTTGGATCAGGATAGGACTCTTATGCTTCTAAGACATTTGGGCTTTATTCACGGCCCCATTCGAGAGCATTGTCCGATGTTTCCTAATTGTATGGATGTTTTGATCGAAAAATATAACGCATCCAAAGCCAGAAGGTATGATCCCATTTGTTTCAATGATTCTCCACTTTATTACACTCATAACCGCATTATATTTAATGATACGAAACACACAATTCACAAATCATTGCTCAGGAATTATGTCGTAATAATGTGTTACTGTATTTCCCACTCGTGTAGGCCTTCAACCGGAACTAGAAATAGTCACTGGTTTTCGGAGTCGAATAACAATCACTTAAATCTAATTCTGTTGGGTTCAGGCGGTCTGAGTGATGAACTCTGCTCTGAAATTAAGGTAATCTTGCATTTGGGGAAAGTTTTGTGCAAATTATTGATTATTATATGTTTTGCTTTGTTTAGGATATCAACGAAACGTTTGAGTTGGAGAAGACTCGCTTCACTTTGGACTTTAGGATAATCGGCGGAGACGTAGATCTGCCCCAAAATGCCTTCCGAACCAATGACTTCTCCCCGAAGGGGTGTTTCTGTGTTTACTCTAATCACCAGACATTAGAATACGTGAGACAGAGCTTAGAGAAGACATTGTTATCAGATCTCGAACAAGAGGACGGCCTTCCATTCCATGGCCTCCCGATTGTCATCTTATTTGCTGCCAATTCTAATATCAATGAAAAGGATTTATTATTTTTGCGAGAAGAGGGACAGAATCGGGCGAAGAGTCTTCAGTGTCCGTTCTTAGATGTGACTAATTTTGACAGTCATTCTTCTGGTCAAAGGTTTGACACTCAAAGCCTAAGTCAAGCCCTACGAGCGCTCATTGAGAGCATCCAACGGCGCGCAGATCTGATGCAAATCTATCAGTCAGTATTGCCGGAACAGGCGCTGAACCCCGACATCCGAATTCTGGTCTGTATGTTATGCGGGGATCCGTTCACTATAGAGCAAGTGATGAGCCCTTTCCTCAACCAACACATGTATTACGTGACGTCTTCTCATTCAATCACAATTGAACTCATGATTGGAGAGACGAAGAGATTTGTGGAGTTGGTGTCGACCTCATACCACGGCGCGCACACCTATCGCGACGAACTCCTTCACGGCTTCCTTCTGTTCTACTCGTGCGGCCGGAAGGCATCGTTGGCCACTTTGACCGCCTTCTCGGCTAACATTCCCAATACTCCGATTCAAATGATAGCATTTAGTGACACTTCAAACTCTAATATCTATTATTCGAACCACGATTTGGATCTCCAACTCCTCTCTGAGGGCAATACTCTCGCCGACAAACTTGAGGCCCATTTCATTACTTCATCGCCGACTCAACAAAAGAATTCATATTATATTCCATTTCTCGAAGAAGTAATGGAAAGGAAGCCTCAAATCGAAAAGGCTTTTGAAATGGAAGACTCGGACTATTCTCTTGAGAGACGAACACCGGTTCCGCCACCCGTTCCCTCACGACAAGAGTCATACCATATTAGGAGCGGTTCCGCCGATTCCGACGGCATTTACGAGCATTTAGGCGACAAATCGACCGATAATGGGAACGAACACATCTCCACCAGTGGTTTCGTCGACGGCCCGCATCTCAGCCCAAGCGATGACAGCGAAGTGTACGCCAGTGTCTATACACAAGAAAATGGTGACCATCTCGTGAAGCCCAGTCAGATCAAGAACAGACGCAGTCTTCAAGCCGGTCAGTCATTCACATTCCCATCATTTACTTATTTAGCATTCAATTCTTGTAACTCATGTTATGTTCACTTCTCTCTAAATCTATATCTTTTGCCTTTTTGTGTGCTTTTCTCTCGACTCAGATCTCTATCGACAATCTTTTCCGAGCACTGAATCTCTAGACAGGCCTCTGCTGTCCAGTCGGCGCGGAGACAACTCTTCTCAGCCGCCGCTTCCTATCCCTCCGAGACGTGAGCTGTCTTACGCTCCGCCTCCATATACTCGCGCTGTTTCTCCCCCGCCGTCATATATAAGCCATTTCTCGCCAAGACTTCCGTCACATCATAAGCCAATGCAGGGATCGTCTGATGAGGCGAAGGCTGTTCCGCATTCTTCTTCACTCTATGGCACAGATAGGCGTCGAATCGCCGCTTATTCTGACGTCAAATCTTTCACTCCATTTCAATATCACTTTCACATTAAAAAGTCCAATAGTTTAAAGGCTTCTGTTTTGGGTAACACTCTGTCCGGCGTTAGTCTTAGCTCTCATTCCTCCCGATTGCCTGAAGACTTAGACAATGCATCAGACGATGTATCCGATGAAGACGACGACACCGTCTCTTCAGGCCTTAGTGGTACTAAAACTGTCTCTCAATTCATTCGCTTTATCTTTCATTCTCTTATTTTCTTAATCCAAAGGATATGGTGCTTATCCGCCGCCTCCAGAGCCCGCGCCGCCTGACTATCAATATTCTCGTCTCAAAAAGACACCCTCTTTGCCTTCTTCTGGCCGATTGCCGGCTCAACACACTTTCAATGAGGGTATTGTCTCTACACTATTATCACATTTTCCCACTTTTACTTTCATTCACATTATAACATATTATCTAAATATTATCTAAACATCTATTAAGTACTTGTAATTAAGTTTCAAATTTCCTTTTCTACAACTTTTTAAGCAATTAATTATGAGATAACGAAAGCATTGCATAACCTATTGTTTATATTTGATTTTCTGTGGCAAGATCATTATCACCATTACTTAATACTCACGCAATAAAATTGCTTACTTTTATTCCTATTATTCTCAGTCATGTGTTGTCCAAACTTGGATATAATTCCTCTTATGAAACTAAAAATCCTCAAAATAAATATCTTGTGTTTAAATGGTTTGCATTTGGCGTTAAACTATTGCCAATAGTCTATTGGTATATGAAGTGCAAACAATAATTATTTGCATTTATTATAAATAGTTAAATAGTTATATCTTTATTGCTTTTTTGCCATTTATATACCGGTAATTATAATATAATAATTATCACAATACAGTGCTATGAATTTTTATTTCATTTGATTTCTTCATTTCACTCGTTATTTGAATGTTTTTGTGTGCATTGTCTTCATGTAAATTTATTTAATCACTTAATTCATATGCTATTTACATATTATGTTAATATTTATATTTTAATTGCTATTTTAATGGTAATAACTGTTATTTAATGAATTTTCTATGATTAGTAGTAAAGTTTAGTTTTTGTTTGCTTCTCATTAACCGTCTCATCACTTTGTGATCCCTTTCTTAATACAATGGCTTTAGTTAGTCCGCTATATATTGTTGCCGGGGTTTTGGGCTATTCTGTAGAAAGTGAGTACACCTTTCCATTAGAATTTGATCTATATTTTGTCTTCATTACCACTCTTTGCCCCTTCAATGCTCTTCTCCTGTCAATGAGTCCTGAGGTTAATGTTTTGTTGTTTGACTGCCGGTAAACCTTTTCAATTAATGTTTGTTCATTATATTAAGAGTTATATCAAGCGATTGTCTTTTCCGCAATCCATTTCAATGATCTCTCATAGAAACCATTCTTCCCAGACATCCAATAATTGATTGTATCATACAATTAGTTAAACATATATTTGCATATGATTTGAATGACTGTTAACTAATGTCTGATATGATTGTATTGATCCATAGGTTGGATGGAAAGGGATAATAGAGTTTATGACAGAGGAAGTGAGGAATGGCTCGATAATGATGTATATCATGCTTATCAGAGTCATCACAAAATGCCCCCACCTATCAAACCAAAGGTAATTGTGATTACAATTGTTTTTTATATCGATTTTTGTACACAAAAACAATGCCGAAAAACTAATTGACTTTTTTTTACTATTGAAAGCCCGGAAAATTAAATTTAAAACAATTTGATAACATTACGGATGCCATCGGACGCCTCAATGTAGGGCCCCGTCAGGGCTCGACTTTACCCAAAATGGGACTTTTGAACGCACCTCTGGCCACACCCGAGTCCATAGATCTGCCCGTCGATTACAATAAGGTTTGTATCCCATAATCTCTTATCTCGTTCTCTATCTAATGATTGGATTCTTGCGTTTAGGACTCTATATATGGTCGTAATTCTCAAGATTATTACTCAATACTCCAGAACACCATAAGTGATGGCAAACATAGAGTTAGACTCAATAGACGTAACAAAGATTCACTCGAAAAAGGTATTGAATTGTAGTCTTTCTATAAATTTATGAATACAAATGATTTCAAATATGCATTGAATGTATTTCTATACCTGTTTATCGTATAATTGACTTATAATTCAACCAATAGTTGGTTCAGATTCTGATAGTGATTGGAGTTCTCTCGAGCGCCGGGAGAGAGACCCCTATAACAGAGCAAATCGAAAACCGACTCCACATAAGAAAGTCCGTAAAAAGAGGGGCATTCCTGTCGCTCCGCCACGACTGCCTTCATTTGAGGGCAATTCCAATAATTTTAGTAATAAATCGCTTAAAAGTGTAAATAATGTCCCAAAAGTCGGCGCCGATTCAGCTATAGATGTGTTCGAGCCCTCAGGTACTGATAGTTTGCTTTTGAATAAAACATGTATTGCCGGCCACTTTCCTACACATCCGTCACTTTCTTTATCTATTGCTTGTGCTGACCATTGCGCTAAAGGGAGGGCTAATACCCCATCAGATGGAAGTGAGTTCTCCAATGAAGACAATGAACCGGTCGATGATAGCCAGCAAACTGTGTCCTCGAAATCGCGACCGAAACGGTCTTTCCATTTACGTCGTCGAGCAAAGCCTCCGACACAGTCTCACTCAATACCCGAAACAAATTATGGCCAATCAAACAGTCCTCCTCTCACTTGCATTGAGTCCAATCATAACAATATCAGTCCATTCTCTGTTGAACACTCACGTAAGTCCTATCGATTGGTACTTTCATTGTTGTAACATCTCATCGATTGATCCGTTGTTTTTCCGTCCGTTTGTTTGTGCTTTGATTTAACATTTCATTTGATTAATTTGATTAAAACATTAATTTTGTTTTCATTTTTATAATTTGAATTAAACACAGCTATTAATCGCTGCAATTCTTTTGATTTGATTAATTGAATGGTTTTATTAATTTATTTACATTATTAATGACTATTTATTATTTGGATAACTGTTTATTACTTTAAAATTACTATAAATATTGATTGTCTTTAAATGCAATTTAATAGCAAAACACAAAAACGATTCGCTGTCTTGTATACAAGTGGCTCAGGAGGAAGAATACGATCCAAGAGATGCCACAATTGAGGTCTTTCCATTTACGTCGTCGAGCAAAGCCTCCGACACAGTCTCACTCAATACCCGAAACAAATTATGGCCAATCAAACAGTCCTCCTCTCACTTGCATTGAGTCCAATCATAACAATATCAGTCCGTTCTCTGTTGAACACTCACGTAAGTCATATCGATTGGTACTTTCATTGTTGTAACATCTCATCGATTGATCCGTTGTTTTCCGTCCGTTTGTTTGTGCTTTGATTTAACATTTCATTTGATTAATTTGATTAAAACATTAATTTTGTTTCCGTTTTTATAATTTGAATTAAACACAGCTATTAATCGCTGCAATTCTTTTGATTTGATTAATTGAATGGTTTTATTAATTTTATTTACATTATTAATGACTATTTATTATTTCGATAATTGTTTATAACTTTAAAATTACTATAAATATTGATTGTCTTTAAATGCAATTTAATAGCAAAACACAAAAACGATTCGCTGTCTTGTATACAAGTGGCTCAGGAGGAAGAATACGATCCAAGAGATGCCACAATTGAACTTTAAAATTACTATAAATATTGATTGTCTTTAAATGCAATTTAATAGCAAAACACAAAAACGATTCGCTGTCTTGTATACAAGTGGCTCAGGAGGAAGAATACGATCCAAGAGATGCCACAATTGTTCAATTGGGCAAAGTATTGAAGAGTAAGTCCGCGACTGTTATCACTGAAAACAACGAAAAGTCAGGTCTCAAGAAAGAGAAGGACCGGAAGAAGGCTCGAGAAGACGAGAAACTCGAGAAACGAAGGCTTAAAGAAGAGGAACGACTCAAGAGAATGACTGAAAAGAAGAAGAAGAAGCAGAAGAACAGTGCGGCGAACAACGGACCCACTCTTGAAGACTTTGTCCAGTCGGAAGACAATTGCGTTCCGCTGTTCGTCGAAAAGTGCATTCAATTCATCGAAGAAGAAGGTCTCGACTCTGAGGGTATATATCGAGTGCCTGGCAATAGAGCTCACGTCGACCTTCTCTTCCAAAAGTTTGAAGAAGGTTTGCATTCAACTCAACTGTTCGTCAGTTATATATGTTATTAAACCGAATGTTAAATCC